GCGGAGCAGCCAGACAAGATGCGGTCCAAAAGCGGCCGAGCTTGCCCCTTCCCTGCCCCCGCGTTAGGGAAGCTGCCGGCAGCCGAGCCGGACTCAGGCTCACCCTGGCAGTTTGTGTTCCACTGCGGCTTCCCTGTGATCGGATGTATTAGTCGTTATGGAATGATATGAGGTTGTGTAATTTTCAGAAGTGTCTATACGATTTACATTAATTAGCTATTATTATTAATGCATCACCCTGGGATCAACCGACTAATGGCGTGAAATTAGCAATAACTAATACATCGTTATATATTTTTAATGTACAAATAAAACCATAAGAGGACTAAGAGATAATCTCATTAATTTTAACTACGTCAACTTGTCCGTGAGCATTTAGCCTAAGCTAGGACAGTTAATTTTTATATCATCTACGCAGGTTGCAGAAACAAATTATAAGATGTTTTAGTGCATTAATTAGTTGTAAATTAATATCTATATAAAAAAATTAATGTGAGCATACCAGTTTTTTAAATATTCAAATCCATCCTAAACAAGCCATTCAAGTTAGCATTAAAGAGATTTAAGAGACTCAATCTTTTTTTTTTGTCCTTGTTGAGTATATAAACATTCAAGTTTTCATAATGATACTTAAGATGGTCTAATGTTCACCTCTGGACTAATTCATTCTAAAAATCAGCAAAGAAAAGGAAAGAATCAAACATTGAATGTGTTTTATTTTCCATACAAACTGTATTTTGAAGGGATGAAGTCGCTGATGACAAGGTTTTTTTTGTTGTTGTTGTTTTTTTAAGAATTCCAGCTAAGAATTGCCGACGTATTAGAAAATCACCATTTTGCCATGTCTAATAAAATGACGCCTCTTGGGGATGACCCACTGGAGGAAGGGAGGGTGGGCATTTGGTGGCGGTGGGGCAGTCTGCCGTCTGGAGCCATGGAGCCTCTGAAAATCGACCTGGGGCTTGTCCAGCCTGAGATGTAGGGGGACAGAGGTGCCTGCCACGCCGCATCGCGAGGTGGAGGCAGGTGACTCCAGCGGTGCCGCGGGAACGCTCAGCCACAGGTGTCCCGGTTGCCTTCACACCCGAGTCCACAGGCGCAGAGCAGTGACCGCGGCACGATAAACGGAGACTCGGTCTTTGTCGCCGGTTCCTGGCCCAGGGCTCGTGTAGCCCCTCGAATTTCCTGATAGCGGCCTCTGTCGTTTCTCATGACAAGTCTCTTTCCACCACCCTGAGTGTGTGGTAAGGAGGTGACTCTGGGAGGGCAGCCGGGTAGTGTCAGGATGACTGCTGGTCCCCAGAAAGGGGGAATCATTAGAGGATTGGTGGTCTCGGCCTCGTCTCCTGACCCCTGGGGAGAGGAGAGCACCGTGGACTGTTAATCCCCAATGGCCCATGAATGACGTGCCTTTTAATGGAGTCTCCGTAAAAGCCCCTAAACAGTGGGGACTGAAGAGGCTCCAGGTCAGTGACACGAGGTGCTGGGGGTTGGAGAGGGCATGGAGGCTCTGGGCCCCCAGACAGCAACCTTGTTTTTCCTGATTCTGTCCTTTATAATAAAAGAGCTTTTCTGAGTTTTGTGAGTTGTTTTAGCGAATTTTTGAACCTGGGGGGCTGATTGTGGGAACCCTCAAATTTGTAGTCTGTGGGCAAAAATGCGGGCAGCTTGGGCAGCCCAGTGTGGCTGGCACCCCAAGTCACGGCTGTCCTGTGGGCGGTGCTCTGGGCACAAGGCTGGCTGAGCTTTGACTAACGGCCAACCTTCACTTGGCTGCAAGACAGCCACTGCCGTGACTCCTGACCTGCCACGGAGTTCGCTGGGCCCACAAGACAGGAGGGAGCCCGGCTCCCGCGCTAAGCCTCTGCATTCTGAGCGTTTGTGACCTGGCAGCAGACGATGGGACAAGTGGGACAAGGGTACTGTGACTCTTGTTTACCAAAAAAAAAAAAAAAAAAGGATCCTTTTCTTTAAAAATAAATACATGCTGAAATACGTATGGTGGAAATGACATCCGAGATTTGCTTCTAACTTGCTGCGTGCGTGTGAGGGAGCAGACGACATGGCATCGGCCACCAGCTGGAAAGCCCTGAAGACAAGTGGTGAGCCCACGGGGACTCAGGACGCCTCCTGGGGCTCTCATCCTGTGGTCCCCTCCTGCACTGGACCAGTCTAGGTCTGTGTGGCCAGTGCAGAAGTGATGGTGTGAAACCTCCGAGATCACGTGCTAAGAGACGCCGCAGCCTTGTCTTCAATGCTTGCTGTCTCTCGTCTCTGTCCTCCACGTCTCTCTGTCCACCTGTCCCTGTCTGAGGCCTCACTTGGAGGAAGCCAGCCGCCCTGCTGCGATCAGCCCTGCGGAGAGGCCGGGAGCTAAGTCCTCCGGCCACCAGCCCAGCCCGTAAGGAACCGAGCCCGAGCACATGCGTGAGCTCGCCATGCCAGCAGAGCTCGGAGCCCACGACCTGGCCGACGGCTCCCCCACGGCCTCGTGAGGGCTGTGGAGCCAGAACCGCGGACCACGTCACTAAGCTGCTTCCTGACCCTCAGAAACCATGGGAAATAATAAATGTTGGTGGTTTTAAGCTGCTAAATCCAGGGTGCGTTTTTACACAGCGATAGATTACTAAGAACGCATATGTTTGAAATTTTCCACCACAGAAGAGTCTGGGTTTTTTTAAGGCACTTGTTATGTGAAGCAGATTTGTCCTCGAGCAGCGACTCAGATGGCAGTACAGCGGGATGGTCCCGTGACATGCCGGGTTTACGACGATGGGAAGCCTCAGAAGCAGCACACTGAACACCGGTTAGAATGCTCTGCTTCTGGCCAACTAAACTTTCTGCATATAAAGCTGACAGTGCAACCCTTAGTTACAGAAAATTTGCAGATATTTCTCAAAAATTGAGATGTTCCAAAAGATGTTGAGGTCAGTATTTTGCATTGTTTCTGTCGCCCCAAATGCTCCCCCGTGCACAGTGCAGGGGTGTGTGTGTGTGAGAGAGAGAGAGAGAGACAGAGACAGAGACAGAGAGACAGAGAGACAGAGAGACAGAGAGATGGATGAGTCCTGTCCGCCTGGGTTCCCTGCCAGGCAGTATAGTCCAGACCGGACCCTGCCTTCATGGAATTTAAGCTTCGTGAAGAGGCATGAGTCCATTGTCACGTTATTAAAATTCTACAAGTACCGAGGGTGGAGGTGGGCAGGGACATCCCCAGGATCTACCGTGGAGCATTCAGGGGTCTGGGCCACACAGGGGGGAGTCCGGGAGGCAGGCTGGGCACTGTGGGCTCGTCCAGGCGGGCCCCTTCTGCTGCTACAGGATGTTTCCTCCGGTGTGTGGGCAAATGTCTGACACCTGCAGACACCTTGGTGCACACAAACGGAGACACTGGGGTCTGTGGTGATGAGCCGACTGAAGCAACTGTGTTGTCTGTGCCAGCAGCTTCCAAAGTCACCAGAGACAAGGAGTCTCCTTGAAGTGCTCACACGACTTGGAGGCCGAGCCTGTTCAGTCTGGGAGCACAAGCCCTGCCACAGGACGGCGGCCGCCGACTCCTCTCTGGGAGGGCAGTGTGGGGCCCGAGACTTGCCACGGCAGGGGACAACAGGGGACAGCAGGGCAGAGGGCCACGTGCACATCCTTGGACAGGCTACAAAGCGAGAGATGAGTGAAGAAAAGAGGACGAATTGTGTAGCGGACTTAAAACAGAAGTCTGTATGGTCACGCCCAAGAAACCCGCTCAGTCTGCTGCGCGGACCCGTGAAAGAAGTTTCATGTAACCAGCCTGAGAATCTGAACTTTTGAACTTCCCAGCTGTGCAGATGCCTGGGGATCTATATATAAACCCTACGGCGGGCGCCGAAAGCCTGTTCGTGTGTCCAGGCCGCCAGGGCCCTGGAACACGGCCACCTCGGCCCCGCGCGGCTGCGAGCGCAGCGCGGCTTCTTCCCGAGAACGTGCTTTTCAGCATAAGAATTCTCGGCTTTTCTTTCTTCTCCCGAGCACTCTGGGTGTTGCCTCCTTGTGTTTAGTTTGCGAGTCAATCTTTGCCATTCATTTCCAGCCAAAGAAATAACTCTGGGCCAGAACCCCCGCCCCGCCTTGGGCCTGCACAGGGGTGACCCTCGGGGAGTCCTGAGTGGCCGGTGCTGACTCCCAGGACGGTGGGGCGGGGGCGAGCGGGCCCCTGGGCGGCCGTCGCTGACGTGTGCTGGCCTCGGGTGACCGGGCGAGCACATGGCCACACGGCTGCGAAAGCAAGACCGGCTGGGCCCCCACGTGGGCTACGCGCCTGCAAAGTAAAAGGCCCTGCGCGTTACAGACGGCGGCGAAAACGCATGACTTAGGGGGGCACCCGCAAGGCCATGACACTGCCCCGTGCCCTGCCGCGGGGACGCCGGGGCCAGAGAAGGCCTGCAGCAAAGAGCAGAGGGCGCAGGACCCCTCAACCCCACGGGCGCCCCGCGAGACGCGCGCACGAGGCCGGCCCCGCA